AGGAAGAGCAGGGGACCAAGGACACTTCCCTGCAGAACTCCAGTGTCAAGTGGCTGTGTTGTTGAGCTGTGTCTTTAATGGTGACATACTGATACCTATTAGTAAGGTAAGATTTGAAATATGCAAGCGCATGGCCTCTCATACCATAATGGTCAAGTTTGTGGAGTAGGATGTTGTGGTCTACTGTGTCAAAAGCTTTTCTTAGGTCAATAAAAATTCCTAGTGGATATTCCTTATTTCCCAGTGCTGTGTAAAGCAGATCTAGCATTTTTATGATTGCATCGTTAGTGCTTTTATTTTTCCTGAATCCAAATTGGCAGGGGTTGAGTATGTTTTGTGCCGTTATAAATGAATATAGTCTCCTGTGCACAAGTTTCTCAAAGATTTTGGATAGCAATGGTAAGTTTGATATTGGCCTATAGTTTTTTTAAAATCTGTAGGGTCACCAATTTATGTTTTGGTGAAACCCCTTGCTGTTTTGGGAGTTTCGGGAAAGGTGCTAGTTTCTAGTGACTTGTTAAAAAGTAATGAGATAGTATGTGAGAGGACATGGGCCGCTCTCTTGTACAATAATGGTGGGACACGAGACAGATTCCCTGAATTATTTTTAAGTGAATTTATAATCTCGGTGACTTCCGTGGGCTCAGTTGGTGCAAGATAGAAGGAATTTGGGAAATTCCCATCTAGGTAGTCTCCGGCATGGGCATTGGTACGTGGGATTTTATTGGCGAGATTAGAACCTATGGTTGAGAAGAAGTCGTTTATCTTGTTAGCTGTGTCAGTGGGTTGCAGTGGTGTTTCATTAGGTTTAGTTAGGACAATATTCTTGTTTATTTTTTTCAGTTTGTGGGTCCCTAGAATCTGAGAGAATGTTTTCCAGGTCTTTTTTATATCTCCTCTTGTGTCAGTGAATCTACTGGAGTAGTATACATGTAGTTGTTTGGCTTTCTTTATTACTTTGGTGAGGACTGATGAATAATATTAGTACATGAAGGTTTGATTATAATTATAGGTAATGAGTCTAGCATTTTAATGTGGACACACTCAGTGTTTTAATGGCTGTGAGGATTACAGATATCTTAGAATAAGATTATAGTGTTTTCCATATGTTTGTAACAATAAGAATATGGATACATGTATATAGTTTTCACATATTTAGCTGATGTTGGGATATGTTAGGGAGAGAAGGTGTTTTTTAATGGTAGTTTTGAAGATGCTAGCTGAGTGACTCTGTTGATTTCTGAAAGAGTGTTCCAGATTTTGGGCCCTTTTATGTACATTGAATTTTTACAAAGATTAAGCCAGACATGGGGTATGTCAGAGATTTTTGTGCCTAGTATTATGTAAGACGGAGAATAGGATAGCAGATGAACAAGGAGGCTTTAGGAAAGGTAGGGGGTGTGTGGACCAGGTGTTTACAGTGAAACATATAAGTGAACAGTATTTAGATAAGGCTAAAGAGGTCTTTGTGGCATTTATGGATTTGGAAAAGGCGTATGACAGGGTGGATAGGGGGGCAATGTGGCAGATGTTGCAAGTGTATGGTGTAGGAGGTAGGTTACTGAAAGCAGTGAAGAGTTTTTACGGGTAGTGAGGCTCAAGTTAGAGTATGTAGGAAAGAGGGAAATTTTTTCCCAGTAAAAGTGGGCCTTAGACAAGGATGTGTGATGTCCCCGTGTTGTTTAATATATTTATAGAGGGGGGTTGTAAGAGAAGTAAATGCGAGGGTCTTGGCAAGAGGCGTGGAGTTAAAAGATAAAGAATCACACACAAGTGGGAGTTGTCACAGCTGCTCTTTGCCGTTTGACACTGTGCTCTTGGGAGATTCGAAGAGAAGTTGCAGAGATTGGTGGATGAATTTGGTTAGGGTTTTCAAAAGAAGAAAATTAAAGGTGAATACGGGAAAGTGTAAGGTTATGGGGGATAACAAAAAGATTAGGTGATGAAAGATTGAATATCAGATTGGAGGAGAGAGTATGGAGGAGGTGAACGTATTCGATATTTGGGAGTGGACGTGTCAGCGGATGGGTCTATGAAAGATGAGGTGAATCATAGAATTGATGAGGGAAAAAGAGTGAGTGGTGCACTTAGGAGTCTGTGGAGACAAAGAACTTTGTCCTTGGAGGCAAAGAGGGGAATGTATGAGAGTATAGTTTTACCAACGCTCTTATATGGGTGTGAAGCGTGGGTGATGAATGTTGCAGCGAGGAGAAGGCTGGGGGCCCAGTGGAGATGTCATGTCTGAGGGCAATGTGTGGTGTGAATATAATGCAGAGAATTCGTAGTTTGGAAGTTAGGAGGAGGTGCGGGATTACCAAAACTGTTGTCCAGAGGGCTGAGGAGGGTTGTTGAGGGGGTTTTCGGACATGTAGAGGGGAATGGAGCGAAACAGAATGACTTCAAGAGTGTATCAGTCTGTAGGGGAAAGGGGAAGGGGGGTAGGGGTCGGCCTAGGAAGGGTTGGAGGGAGGGGTAAGGAGGTTTTGTGTGCGAGGGGCTTGGACTTCCAGCAGGCATCCCGTGAGCGTGTTTGATAGGAGTGAATGGAGACAAATGGTTTTTAATACTTGACGTGCTGTTGGAGTGTGAGCAAAGTAACATTTATGAAGGGATTCAGGGAAACCGGCAGGCCGGACTTGAGTCCTGGAGATGGGAAGTACAGTGCCTGCACTCTGAAGGAGGGGTGTTAATGTTGCAGTTTAAAAACTGTAGTGTAAAGCACCCTTCTGGCAAGACAGTGATGGAGTGAATGATGGTGAAAGTTTTTCTTTTTCGGGCCACCCTGCCTTGGTGGGAATCGGCCGGTATGATAATAATAAAAAAAAAATATTATGTCTATGGGTCTTGTTGCAGCTATCAAGAAAGTGCTTCAGGTCAAGATTAATTTTAGAATTTATTGTTCTGTACATGTAGGATACACAGTAATAAGAGTAAATGTTTTGTATAACAATTAGACTTAGGTTTTTTGAAGAGTTGGGGGGGGGGGGGGTGTCTAGCATTAGACTGTGTGATCATTTATTCTACAGCTTTTTGTTGAATTATTATTGGCTTCATGTGATTTGCCGTATACCTGGAGAGGGTTTTGGGGGTCAGTGCCCCCGCAGCCCAGTTTGTGATCAGGTCTCATGGTGGGTCAGGGCCTGATCAACCAGGCTGTTACTGTTGGCTGCACGCAACCTGACACATGAACCACAGCCCGGCTGGTCAGGTACTGACTTTAGGTGCCTGTCCAGTGCCTTTTTGCAGACAGCCAGGGGTCTGTTGGTAATCCCCTTTATGTATGCTGGGAGGCAGTTGAACAGTCTTGGGCCCCTCACACTTATTGTGTTGTCTCTTATCATGCTAGTGGCACCCCTGCTGTTCATTGGGGGGATGTTACATCATCTGCCGAGTCTTTTGCTTTCGTAGGGAATGATTTTCATGTGCAAATTTGGTACTAATCCCTCTAGGATTTTCCAAGTGTAAATAATCATGTATCTCCTGCCTGCCTTCTAGGAGTACAAGTTGAGGAACTTCAAGCATTCCCAGTGATTGAGGTGTTTTATTACAGTTATGCGTTCCGTGAAGGTTCTCTATATATTTTCTAGGTCAGCAATTTCACCTGCCTTGAAAGGTGCTGTTAGTGTGCAGCAATATTCCAACCTAGATAGAACAAGTGACCTGAAGAGTGTCATCATAAGCTTGGCATCAATAGTTTTCAAGGTTTTCATTATCCATCCTGTAATTTTTCTAGCAGATGTGATTGATACTATGTTGTGGTCTTTGAAGGTGAGACCCTCTGACATCACTCCCAGGCATTTTACATTAGTTTTTCGCTCCATTGTGTGGTTGGAACTTGTTTTATACTCAGATATAGTTTTAATTTTCTCGCATTTTCCATGTCAGAGTAATTGAAATTTCTTATCATTGAACTTCATATTGTTTTCTGTGGCCCATTTGAAGATTTGGTTGATGTGTGCCTGGAATCTTGCAGTGGCTGTTATGGATCCCCAGGCACAAATAGCATAGGTGAGGTTGGGGTACATCAGTGAATAGTTTAATGTAAGTAGCACTGTTTGTGGTACATCATTATATATGCATCTTTTGAGAGGATGCCAACTGTTCTGGACACTTACTTTTAGGTGTTGGATGTGGGTGTTGAATTTCAAGTTGCTGTCGAGGTGCAGACCCAGAAATTTTCTCTCATTATGTTTAGCAATAAGAGTATTGTTAATCATTATGTTTAGTTCAACATTACTTTCTCTGCTCCCAAACATAATGTAGAAGGTTTTGTCAGTGTTAAGTGTGAGTTTATTGGTAGTCATCCAGGTTTACATTTTTAAAAATCAATGTAAATTTCAGGTATAGTTTAAGAGTTTCTTTTGAAAAAACTATAATTTTGAAATGACCTTTGCTATAGTAATAATTGTGTAGAATTAAGGAGTTTTTTGCCTAAGACTAAAAAAAAAAAAAGTTTTAATTCAAGTTTAGAATGGTACTATAGCTGACATTTTGAGTGTTACCAATGGTGATTTCAGAGTTGGCTAATCAGCAATACAGATACATGTACTATATTTTGATTTTGATGCAGCAATTTTCTTATGCAGTTGAAATTAGGTAAAGTAAAAGCTGATCTAATGAAGTACATTTTGATGATACCTAAAATATTATAATTTATAAACTCACTATTTATAATAATAATAATAATATAAACTCACTACATGAGCTGATACCGAACTTAAATTACAGCACTATACAGTAGTGGTATCTCAGCACACAAACAGCTCCCAACTCGAACACTTGTGTAAGTGTATTTTTGTAAGTGTATTTTTGGGGGTCTGAAATGGATTAATCTAATTTACATTATTCCTTAGAGGAACAAATTTGTTCGGTATCGGCACTCGAACAGTTTTCTTAAACAAGTTAAGTTCGTAACCCGAGGTACCAAACTTTTGGTTTGGCGTATTTTACATTGTCAGTTGCGGACTTATTAAATGTTAAAAATTGTTTGCTAATTACAGGTTTATATGACAAAATGGATGAATTTGTTCAGCTGAAGTGGAATACCCACCACTCAACTTTCTTAGAGAACCTCAGTAGCCTGCGGGATAGGGTGAGTGTGGTTTCATCATTTGCCAGAGGCAAAGATCTTTTTCTGTTTTTCTGATAATTCAGTACAGTACTCTAGAATATCCCAGTCATTAGCTCTTTTAACCAACTCAGATTTTTGTATTAAGCTACAGTGTTCAGATAAAAAAATAAAATAAATATAAAAAGTAACAGTGCACAATAAATACCTAACGGTTACTTAATCAGTAGTCTGCAGTCAGTGACATCTATAACCCCGCACTTCTGTATTGTACTGTATTTTTTTACCAGTCTTGAATTCAACAGTCATGTCTTTCTTTTCACCAGTGATATTAACCTCTTTCTATTTTTTTTATTTGATGAAATATAAAATTAGATATGTGAAGTACAAACTTTGGTAGCAATTTAGTGTTTGTGCTTTTGCATCAGGGTTACTGCTTGCACTTTCTTGCATAACTACATACTAGTTAGGCTCTGCTGCTGTACCCTGTTCAACTGTTGCATCTAAGTTTTTATACTGTATATGTCTGATTGTCCAGTAACAGTTATGAGTTTCATGATGTCTGAGTTTTGCATTTTTCTATCAAAATTTCCCAAGAGACTGCACAACTGTTGACTATAACTGACCTCTTTCAGAATTTTATCAAAGTATTTTTAACTGTGCATCTTACTCTTTGCTATTCACATAGAAAATTATGATTAACACATTATTTTAACAAAACAGTAGTAGGTTGGTAGACAGCAACCGCCCAGGGAGGTACTACCGTCTCCAAGTGAGGTAAAAACAAAGCTAATTGTTTACATATGGTAGGATTGGGTGTCCTTTTTCTGTCTCAGACTGCAGATTTCAGGTATTCTTGCATTCTACTTACATTAGGTCACACTACACATACATGTACAAGCACTTTACACACCCCTCTGGTTTTCTCTAATTTTTTTCTAGTTCTTATCTTTGTTTTATTTTCCTTTATCTCCTGGGGAATGGACGAATTTCTTCCTACCTAAGCTGGTGTTGTAAGAGCACTAAATGCGGAGCAAGGGGCTTAGTAAACTCCTCTTCTCCTGTATATATTACTAAAGTAAAATGAGAAACTTTCGTTTTTCCTTTGGGTCCACCCGCCTCGGTGGGATTAACGGCCGGTGTGTTGAAAGAAAGAAGTAGAGTCATAAATAGTGCATTTAAAAAGAGAGGTGTTCTGTTATGTTAATTATTGTGTCATTGATTCTGGGGATCATCTTCCCCATGGCCCAATCTCAGACCAGGCCTCTAAGGTTGAAAATAAAATGTGCATATATAGATTTGACATGAATTTTTTTTGGCTTAGCTTCAGTCTGGCAACACTGGGACTGTAGGTGCTAAACTATGGACTCCTGGACAGCACACACTACAAGACAACAGGATCACGAACTGAGCAGTGTGTAGCTTTATTGATATGCACCTTCATGCTTGAAGTAAAGAACAACTATGGAATCTTTCTGAACAATAAGTCTCTGAGACTTCTACTTCATGACCTTTCCTACTTCATGATTTTCTGTCCATATAGGATTTGCCTATTCATCCTGAAAGAATATATGTATTAAATCTTTCTTTCAACACACCAGCCGTATCCCACCGAGGCGGGGTGGCCCAAAAGGAAAAACGAAAGTTTCTCCTTTTACATTTAGTAATATATACAGGAGATGGGGTTACTAGCCCCTTGCTTCCGGCATTTTAGTCGCCTCTTACGACACGCATGGCTTATGGAGGAAGAATTCTGTTCCACTTCCCCATGGAGATAAGAGGAAATAAACAAGAACAAGAACTAGAAAGAAAATAGAAGAAAACCCAGAGGGGTATGTATGTATATAAATGCTTGTACATATATGTGTAGTGTGACCTAAGTGTAAGTAGAAGTAGCAAGATGTACCTGAAATCTTGCATGTTTATGAGACAGAAAAAAGACACCAGCAATCCTACCATCATGTAAAACAATTTCAGGTTTCCATTTTACACTCACTTGGCAGGACGGTAGTACCTCCCTGGGCGGTTGCTGTCTACCAACCTACTACATACATGTATTACATATGTACAGTATTTTTCTTTTCTCTTCTTCAATGAAACGTCAGGCAGATACTAAACCTGACAAGTGAGTTGTTCACTAAAAGGTATGCATGGTCATGCATATATTTTTTTCCTAGTTCTCTCTCTTACACAGAGTTTGACAAGGTTTAAGGATCGCTAACTTTATTGACAAGCTATTTACAGGTTAAGGATTCCTAACTTTATTGACAAGCTAAGAGCTGTTACCTACATCAGCTCATTTGAAAGCATTTTTATTGTTATGAGACATACAAGTAGGGAACAGGATGAAGTTGGAGCCCTCTGTGGGCCAGCATTTTCATCTGATCAACTGACTTTATCTCGTTGACATCATAATGCTGTACAAGTGTGTTCCAGACTCGAATCATCCTGGGGATAGGTGATCTCAGATGAAGTGATGTTCTGGAGAAGGGTACAACCAGGGTGAAGTTGCTGCTTTCTGCCTGTCTTGTGGTATAGAAGCTTGCTTCACGCTGTCCTCGAAGTGGATCCAAGTGTGGTACTTTGACAATATTGTCCTTGTACGTAACAGTAAGGCCACCCACATCCCTCCTGTGTTGAAGGCTCTGCTGAAATGACAGATCTATCCAGGATTGGTCCAGGCAAGAGAGGTGACGTCTTGCTCTGTTCTCTACTCTCTCAAGCAGTCGCAGATGAGAAGGGGGGCAGGTGAACCAAGAAAGTGGAGCATACTCAAGGTGTGAGCGTACTTGTGCCTCGTACAAAATCTTGCAACCCCTGCTGTCAAACAGATGTGAGATACAGCAAAGTGCTGTAAGCTTCCTGGCTGCCTTGTTTTCAAGATTTACAACATGGTTTTTCATGGTCAGTTTGGAGTCAAATTTCACCCCAAGGATATCACCTTCTTCCCCAGGTGCCAACACCCTCCCATTCATCCTTACTACTGCACCGGCATTACCATCATGGTGCCTAGAGATCATCATCATTTGTGTTTTCTCAGGTGAAAATGTTACTTGCCATCTATTTCTCCAAGCTGATATAGCTCTTAGCTGGTGATTGATGTAGCTTAAAGCAGCTGGCATTTCTTCTCTTGGATAAGTGAATGTCAGTGTACAGTCGTCTGCATATGCATGTGATTCTGGGATGAGATGAAGGTCATTGAAGTAGACTTTCTATAACAATGGTCCCAGAATGCTTCCTTATGGGACACTTGCCCTAATAGGATGTCTTGCTGATTCTGTTCCATTGAGAACTACCCTTAGAGATTACCATGAAGGTAATCACTGAGGAGACATAGACAGAGCTTACAGTTTTGCTAAGAGGCCCTGGTGCCACACCCAGTCAAAAGCACCAGCAATGTCCAGTGCTACCACACAGCTGACTTTGGATTCATCCAGTGACTGGTGCCATTTAGTGGAGAGGTTTAACAACAGATCAGCAGCAGGGTAACCTTTCCTGATGCCATATTGACGATCACAAAGTAGTGAGCGGTAGTCTCACGGATCTTACCAGTGATTGACAGGAGTGACACTGGTCTGTAGTTGCTGATTTCTGCTCTGCTCTTCTTTTTGTGAACAGGGACTACATTTGCCTCTTTCCACAGAGAGGGCCATTTACACTGTACTAGGCAGTGCTGAAAGATGCCAGTTAGAGGTGCTGCTAGCTAGTCTGCACATCTTCTCAGCAATCTTGGGCTCAACTTGTCTGGGCCCACAGCCTTTTCTTGGTCAAGCGATTTAAGAAGGAAATGCACCTTCTCCTGCCTTATTGTCACCACTGACAGTTTTGACACAGTTCTTGCAGCTAGCCAAGGAGGGTCCCTTGCTGGATCAGGAACTTGTATTTTGGTAGCAAAGTGTTCAGCAAAGAGGTCTGCCTTCTCTTGACTACTAGTAGAGGTGGTCCCATTCCCCCCCCCCCTCTCTCTCTCTCTCTTTTTCTTTCTCTCTCTTTCTCTTTTTCTTTTTCTTTCTCTCCCTTTCTCTTTTTCTTTTTCTTTTTTTTTCTCTCTCTCTCTCTCTCTCTTCTCTCTCTCTCTCTCTCTCTCTCTCTCTCTCTCTCTCTCTCTCTCTCTCACTCTCACCCCTCACCTCACTCTCACTCTCACTCTCACTCTCTCTCACTCTCACTTTCTCTCACTCTTTCTCTTTCTCTCACTCTCTCTCTCTCTCTTTCTCTTTCTTTCTCTCTTTCTCTCTCTTCCCCCCTTCCCATCACTCATTTCTACCCCACCCTCTCTCTCATCTTTTCATGCTTTCTCCTTCCCTTTATTTCTTCCTTTTTTTTTTTTTTTTTTTTTTTTTTTTTTTTTTTTTTTTTTTCTCTCTCTCTCTCTCTCATTTACCAATACGACAAATATTAAATACTGGGCACAGGAATACTTGTAGCTCTACTCTAACTGCCAGTAGGAAAAAAGTATAGATATACCTTTCATCCATGGACTGCTTGCAGAGGCAAAGGCAATGTTCACGGCTTTCACTGAGACCCACATAAAGGATCACTTGGACAATGAAATATGGATCCCAGGTTACAACCTATACAGATGTGACAGAGTGAACAGGCAAAAGGGGGGGGTTGGCCTGTACATTGCAGAGTCACTTGTTTGCACAGAACTGCTTAATGCCTCAAATGACGTAGTGGAAGTTTTAGCAGTAAAGGTCGAGAACCAAAACCTAGTCATTGTGGTAGTCTACAAGCCTCCGGATGCAACATCCCAGCAATTCCAGGAACAGCTGTTAAAAATTGACCACTGTCTGGAAAATCTTCCAGCTCCTGCACCCAACATCTTGCTCCTGGGGGATTTCAACTTAAGGCACCTAAAATGGAGGAATATAGCAAATAATATTGTTGCAGTAATAACACCAGGAGGCAGCTCTGATGAAAACTCACACTCACACGAGCTTTTAAATCTCTGCACAAAATTCAATTTAAACCAGCAAATAATAGAGCCTACTAGACTGGAGAATACACTAGACCTCATATTC